AAGCAGATGCAAATAGGCAAGACACTTCACTGAATGCAAGATTTTAAACTGCTATAAATGGTTTTCCCCTCACTTCCAGAACTGTGAAACAGTCACAGATGTTTTGTGGTCTCATTTTATGTTACTGGAGAAGGGCTAGATTGGCAGAGCAAGATATAATCTCCCTTGCTTTTTAACTTGCACAGCGAAACTAGGAATAAAAAAAGAAATCCCCAAAACAAGCACGAGATTGGGATATTGTGTTAGACTGAAACTGCTCAAGAGCCATTGAGATCTTTGGATTAATTTCTGCATAACAGAGGAGTTACCGAGGAATTGGGTTACTCAGTCATAAATTTGCAGAGTTGCTGAAATGGAAGCTGTCATAATAGTGCCTGATAGTGAAAATGAAGCATCTCTGCAGTGTCTTACTCAGTTTTTAGAGCTAGGGAAGAAACTCAGGTTGTCCTGCGAGTCTGTCAATGGAGGACTCTGTATGTTTGTGTTTTCATGTTTTGCTGCAGTGGAGAATGTCGCTTGTTTTGCTTAATTCTTTTGCAGCAGTGGTAGTTTAATTTGATACGTACTTGTTTCAAGAGAAAAGAAAATTTTTGATCCAGCTTAAAAAGCAGAGTTTAATGGTTATTTGCAAACTGACCTTCTGTGTTCAGGGATTCTGTCATTTACATGGCATTATATCCTTTGCATGTGTGTTGGGGTTTGTTGTGGGATTTTAGGAGTATTAAGGTCAGATATTCAAATGCAGCCTTAGGAAAAACATACCCATCTCGTCTGTGCCAATTTATGTAAGCAAATCAGACATTCCTCAAATTATTTATAGGAATCTCCAAAAGCCTATTTTTCTGTGAGTGTGTGGAGTGACTACATTATAGGACTTTGTTTGAGGCCATTTTAAAAAACAATTTTTGTAGAGTACGGGTTACAAAAATCTGGAAGAAAATACATCTCAATTGAGATGGCCAGACGTTACTTTTGACTTAATGGATTTAGAAAAATGTGGCTTGTTTAAGATGGTATTCTTTCACTGAAAACAATGTATTGATTACAATCCAAGGCAATTTCGTTCCCTTGCTCACACACTTTTGTGACTCTGGTTTCTGTCGTGGTTGGTCTTCTCTGTTTGAGAATAGTTGATGAGCTCTGGGTGAACTGTGATACAATTATCAAAGATTTCAGCTGTGAAGCTTTTAAAAATCTGACTTGATTTTTGCTTTCAGATTCCTGTGGTCTGTTGCTGACATTAGTGTTTCCAATAATGGCTTTTTTTGTGATGTAGTTTTTTCATGTTCTGACATACGTGTTGAAATGTAGCATAAAAACATTTCCATGAATTACTGCAAAGTACTTCATTGGCATAGCAGGGTTTGGGGTTTGTTTTTGTTTGGTTGGTGGTTGTTTTTTTTTTTTTTTTGGGGGGGGGTTTTTTTTTTTTAGGATTACTTGGAAAGCTATATGGCAACTGTCTGAAATTTGAGGCAATGTTTTATATTCATTATTTGATGACCCAAATCCATTCCTGTGCTCTGTTGTGGATGACTGGCAGTTCCTAATTTAATTTATCCATATCCTTTCACAAAAGAGAATAAGCTTTGGATTTAATATATTCTTTTGTACTATAATATGTAATAGATATATGAAAGAACACAGGAGACGAGAAAGATTATCAGGTTCTAAAGCTCAGGAGAATTCAGAGCGTTCTTAGAGAAATGTAGAAAATGTTTATGGATGCTGTTTGCAGAAAACAAAATGAACAACCATTGCCCATCCTTCTTGCCGCACTATCTATTATGAGTTCAGACTTGAGGTGTTCTGTGCCATGTCAAGTATTTTTCTTTGTGTATCAATTATGATCGGAACTTTTTCAAATTTCAGGTATATATAAAGCATAGTAGTGGAACATTTACAACAGTATGTCTTAGGAGAACACTCATTATGGATGTGCCTATTTAGCTGCTTTTATCCATCTTGAATCTTTTTTAATATCTGGTAATGAATCATGTGGCTTGAAGCCCGACTGAGTAGCGCTATTAACTGAAGTGTATACTAACCAAGGGTGAGGTTATTAACTAGTCCCTTTTATTTATCTATGGAGGGCTTAAGGATTCCTAGAGCATGAGTTTGGCTCGGGGGCTCTTGTTCATTTGCTCTTTTTTGTTTGGTTGATTTCCATCGTCTGTCTTTCAAGCAAGAAAACTAGGGCATCAATTCATTTCAGAAAGTGAACATTGTTACTGGGTTGAAAAACTCCTTACGTGCCCTAGCCTTTTATCAGATTCCTCAAGAACTCAGAAAACTTTTGTGATTATTTAGGTGGGTGAAGCAAAGGGCTTTTTAAATGAACGGTTTAGAATGTAGACATATAGAAATTCACAGATTTTCTGACTGTTCTTCCATTAACGCCCTCTAATGTTGTCAGATGAAACTGTGAGTAGTCAAGTTTCCTCATTTCCAGTGTTTTAAAAATTGGATTTCTTTTGTACACTGTTGTCAGTAAAATCTGTTTTCATGTTTGGCTATACCTGAGTCACCTAATAGTTATTATGCCCCAGTTCTATTTAGTTCATTGTAGATTCATCTTAAAACTGTGTGCCACTTGAATATCACATCTGTGTTCAAATTTTTTCCCACTGCCTTTGTGTTGAAATGTCACTGTGCAATTTTATCTTAATATTTTGAGTCTTGCTTATCGCCTAGCCACAAAAGTTTGCAGACACTTCTAAGATTTTAAGCTATAAAATGCTTCACTGAGATATGACTGTATAACTGTAGACCTTTTTTTTTCAGTCATAGGGAGAGTGATGGTTTTCTTTTTGTACTTTTCAATCTTTGATACCGGCTTTGCCTTTTGAGGAAAGTTTTCTCTATACTGTCACTAGCATGCCCATGCTTGTAACTGGGTACAGTATTAAAAAAAATAAGTGTATGTGTTAACCACTCTTAACAGCAAACAAGTTGGTTTTTAAATGTCCTGAGGCTGGAAGGAAGCAATTACAGAAGGAAACCTGTTGTAGCTATGTTACAGGCAAAAAGATAGCAGTGCAGGGCACAAAGCATGAGGTTGAGTGAGCATGTACAGAAAACAGACAAATCGAGTTAACATCCTTTGACACTGGCTGTTTAAAAATAGGAAAACAAAGTACAGAAATACCATGGTGCAGACAAGGCCGTGATATCCTCTAGGCGAGTAACAGCATATGGAAGAGTAAAGGACACATAGAGAGGGGTAAACACATAGGAGATGTGTAGTGTGTTATGTATTTCTGTAAGGTGGAGGAAGAAAGGAGTAGTGTAAGTAGATGGTTTACACAGTAGGAAGAGAAGCAGAGTCCCTCACATCAAGGAATAAGAAACCTGTAGAGAAATTAGAAGTTCCCTTGTGGCTGGAAGTGAATTTGGGCAGAGAGAAGGTCCGTATGGCAGGGACAGTGATAGCTGCGGGAGCCCTGGCGCACTGGAAGGGCCGTGCAGCGCTCTGTCGGTGCCTGAACCGAGGGTTCTTTTTATTTAGTTAGTCTGTTTGCTCAGTGATGACAACAAAAGGATGAGCAACTGTATCCATGACAGAATTCCGTATTAATTGTAAAGATAAGAAAATAGAGGAGTGGTTCACGGATTGTGTTCTTTTCTAACACTCCAGTCTTGAAGCATGGCTCATTTTTTCTGTGTGAAGCAGCAGGTCTCACTGGACAGTGGTGGTCCCAAGGCCATTGCTGCTTCTGCCCTTTAGAGTAAGACACCGGACAGGTCACAGCGCTGTGATTGCCTCAGCTGCTCCTATGTGAAGTGCAGATGGTAACAATGTCCAATTTTGTGAAGTATCTTGAGAAATGCAGGAGCTCTCTGTTATTTTTGCCTAGCCATGCTGTTTATGGTTTAGATTGCCTGTTAGAGTCTCAAAGAAAAGTTGAATAAGACATAGCATTAAAGTTTTCAGGGAGTTGTTTGGAGGAATAAAGAAGTAATTTTTTTATGTAATGTGATTGCATATCCTGTGTAGTTTCTATCCGGTAGACATTAAAGAGCTAAGCTCAAGTTGTTCCATGTCAGCAAAGGGTAGAGTCTTGCAAGCCTGCTACCTGGTCCACAGCAGAGGCATCTCAGTGCAGAACCAGAGTAGACAGATAGAGGGAAGGAAATGCAGAGACTTGACACTGCAACATAATGAAATACCTTTGTCTGCTTGGAGTTGACTGTTTTAGGAGAACACTTTCAGCTTAGGAGAACACTTTCAGCTTTGGTGTTAATACTCACACACATCACAATTCAGGAAAAAAAAAAGAATCATGTTAGCTGGATGAGAAGAAATGTGAAAATTCGTGTAGATTCTCTGTATCAGGCGGGAAAAGGAGAAATGAAGGATCAGGATTAAGGAGAAATGAAACATAGTATTGAGACTGAAGAAAGCAGAAGAATGAGATTGTTAACTAAACATCATGTGTACAGTAAGTTTTCTGAAGGCTATAGTTACCCAGGGACAACGCAGAGATGAAAGCATCTCTTTCAGTCATTTGGGCGTTTCTTCCTTGTACTGTAGTGCTGTCAGGAAGTTAAGGATCAGGTCTCTCTTGCTGTGGGCATTGTGTAAAGATCCAGTAGGGTACTCACTGCCAAAACTGCTTGCAAACTTGGGGGGGGATACACAAAACCACACACTGTTTTGAGATTCCATAAATGCCATTACTGCATCAAGTGGAAATACAGTTACTAGTAATATATTAAGTGTTATATATGTGCAGCTATTAGACTAGCAAGAGTTTTCCTGAGGCAGGAGTAGGAATAATGTTTTCCTAATGAATCAATTTGTGAATGTGCAGGGCGTATATTGATCACTAATGTCCTGCATCTTTTAGAGATGAATGCTGAAATCCTTGTCCCCATCTGAATAACAACAAATTTCATGTGCTGTTTTCCTTGATACTTTCAATAGATTTTTTTTAATATTTATAGACAGCAAGTTCAGAACACTCAGAGTAATATATCAATTCTTTCTCTTTTTACAGAGGGAAACTAAAGGTCAGTTTCTCGTAGATCACATCTGCAACTATTACAGTTTGCTGGAAAAAGACTATTTTGGCATTCGATACGTTGACCCTGAGAAGCAGAGGGTATGTATATGAACTCTGACTACATTTTCTTTTAAGTAATGCTAAATTTATTTATTTATTTATTTATTGAACAAGCAGGCAAGTTCTAATGCAAAATTCTGTGTCTCTGAGGGTTTATACTCTGGCCATAATCCATAGAGGTTCCTAAAGTGGCACTATTAAATTAATTTTCCCCTCAGTTCATGTATTTAGTTTCAGGTAAATTGATATATTCTGATTTGTGTAGTTCTCCTGGGCACTGAAGATAGAAAAGATCTATAGGCATGTCTCTGGGGTAGCACAGGGTAGCTCTAGGCTCTGGCAGTGCACCGGAATTTGGGATTTCTACTTTTCTGTAGACTATGCTTCTTGGGAAATGGAGGCAGGAATCCTATTGAGTGTAACAGGGTGGTGAGACACTGGAACAGATTGCCCAGAGAAGCTGTAGATGCCTGCTCCCTGGAAGTGTTCAAGGCCAGGCTGGACGGGGCTTTGAGCAACCTGGTCTAGTGGAAGGTGTCCCTGGCTGTGGCCGGCGAGTTGGAGCTAGATGATCTTTAAGGTCCCTTCCAACCCAAACCATTCTGTGATTCTGTGAATTAGCAAAATATTTAGTGGTTATTCTGACCACTGTACTTAATTCTTCACAATCATTAAATTATAGAGGTCTTCACCTGATTGGACTTGATGGGAGAAGCAGGTGGAGTGCTGGATTAGAACATAATTAGGTACGACTTAATGAATACTTACTTTTGTTGGACCTTTCTCTGACAGACACTCAAAAATTGTTACAGATAAGTTATTTTACTTAACAGCAGTCAGGAGGTTTTTTTTTTTAGTAAAATCTTTAATTTTTTTGCAGAATACTTTTAAAAAGTGGTGCTTTAGAAAAAAACTCTAAAACCCCACTCCCATTGGGATACCTGTTATAGCATACCTTCTGTGGTTCCCATATTTCAAAGAGCTGTTAACTCGATTGACAAATTTGCTGCAGTATCTTTTTCTTGTTGGCTATATCGTTGTTCTTTTACATTTTGTAGTGTAACTAATTCTGTGTTAAGTTTATGGAAGATTAGATTTTGTACTGAAGCTTTCTCTTGGTTAATAGTAAAAGCCAATCTGAGAAACCATTCATGTTCTTACCTAAAAAATCCTTAGGTCTTCATTTCCCTTTATATCCAACAGCTAAGAATACTGTGGCCATCCTGTGTGGTAGGATGGCTTATATCAATTGGCCCACTCTTCAGTCAGATTTTGTTAAGCAAACTTCTCAAGCTCACATTTTTATACATGCATTTTTAAATGCTGATTTATAATTATGAGCATGTTTTTAACATATCGATAACTTCTTTAATTGGATGTTAGTTCTTGATTTTAAGCGCTCTCTCGAAATAGGACATGAATTACAAGGGACATTTCTATATAAAGGCTTAAATGCTCTGGATGATGAGTTGAAAGCAACATATGTTTTTCTCTTAGGTTTATTACAATTCATCAAAATAAGGTATTTTTCATGCAGTATCTTCTGTTGTTCTTTTGTCCGTCTCTGTTGGGGTTTTTTATTTTCTTTCCCCCCCCCCCCTTTTTTTTTAAGATTGCACGTCTAAATATTTGTATATAAAATGCTTTCCCTCAGAGTGGCTGTTTCATCTGCAACAAACCCTATCCTAAGGACTGAATTGCAGACATATATTATAATAAAGGAATTATTATTATTATTACAGGTTTAATTATTATTAAAGGTTTTATGTCATCTGTCTTTTTTGAATCTCTGATCTCACTGAAGTTCCCTTATCTGAGTCTTACCTCTGTATCACATATAGATGCATGAATACCTCCCAGCCAGATGTATGAAGACTGTGAACCTATAATTACAATACTTCTCCCATCAGCAGAAGACTGTTCTGTTCATTTGCTGATCTTAAAGAAACATGCTAACCAACAATCTTCTAGTAGTATAACAAGCATGGGACTTTATGAATAATTATGCTGGAGCCTAGGCACTGTAGCTAGATAAAGTTCATCAGTAAATGGCTCAGTAGAAAACTAGAGGGAATCATGATTGTGAGCTTATGAGGTAGGTGATGGCTCTTCCCACAGTTTTGTGTTTTAGCAGTTGTGAGCTTAGCTGCCTGAAATTCACATTAACAAAAATCCTGAGATCAGAGAGGAGTAGTTGTTTAGGTATGTGGTTATAGAGATAAGCTGTAGCAAGTATAAGATGTAGTGGGGTCCCAGGAGGAATGTCACATCATCCTAGCCACCTTACGGGATACGGTACTTAGAGCTCTGTGGAAAAGACTTCCAAAGCTCTGTGGAATTCTTGCAGGTACCACCAAGGAAAAAGAGAGAGACATTTCCTGCAGTACATTCTTATGGTTAGTTAGATATATTACAAAAAAGAAACAGTAGCTCAGTAAATATCTGTAGTCTAATGGAATTCACCAAGAGCTTCTTTTGGAAGTTAAATCTGGTGATATGACTGAGAACAATTGATTTGAAGGAAGTGATAACTCATCATAAACCAGTTCAACAATGTGTGTGACAAAGTACTTCAGTGCCCTTTAGGCAAATAAAGAGATGTGGGACAATGAGGAAAATTAGTATTACCTGATCTGGTTTTGGCAGTAAGCCACTGGCATGATGTGGCTACGACAAAAGACAACACTTTGTTTGCACCTTCTTAGAACTGTATGTTCAGGGAAGTATTAATGTCATTACACCCTAATGAGACCTCAGCCATTCTGATCTAGATGTCTGCATTTAAGAAAGATCAATTCAACTGAATCGGGAGAGGGAGTATTAGAAAGATAAAGAGCTTGTTTTTGAGGCAGTATTAAAAAGGGTGTGACCCCTTTAGTGCAGCAAAACAAAGGATAAGAGGATATGCTTATACATGCATCCGGGCATAATGCAGGAAGAAAAAGGAAGTTTCAACTAGAGAAGTGGTTTCTTAATTAAGCCAATGAGTGCTGCAGCATCTGGAACAGCCATCATGGAGGCAATGGGACAAAATTTTTAACTAGGTATGTAAAGAATTTTGAAAGAGTTCTCTATAATTTTGTGGAAAGGCGTTTTATATTAAACATTGACAGAGTTAGAGACTAGGCACTATCATCTGAAGTTTCTTTCAAAGAATATGTAATAAAAAGGGGGTTGGACTACATGACGTCTGAAGGTCTTTTCCAACTCAAAGCATGCTGTGATTCTACGATTCTATGACAAGCTGAAACAAGAAAGCATAACATTTTTTTTTAGGAGAGTTGTTACTGCTTCTGATGCAGGTAGTGTACAATTCATATTGCTTTGCCCATTTTCTTAGAAGTGTTGAATGCCTCTGTTGTAGTTTATATGCCACTGCATAGCCTGTGTTTTTACACAGAAGGGGCTGTATCTGTGGTTCCAAATCAAACTGCCAAAATCATGCACTTAATTCTGGCTTTTAGTGAATTGTTCTTGACTGGCTCTTTGAATAGTTCAGCTATATGACATAATAGTTTATTATTATATAGTGTACACACACACCCACACATACATACATATATATATAAAAAATATTATGCAGAATTACTCCTGCTGGGATTTAGTCTACCAGTGGTGCTGTCTCCGGTTCATTTGTATGTAATTTTTTTGTGCAAAGGTTGCAGAGTTGCTCCAAAAGCTAATTTGCAGTCCTTTTGTTTTGTAATCTATTGAGACGGCTCAAGCAGGCAAAAATACCAGCTTTAGTTCATCCTAAATGTCTTCTTTCAGCATATGCTACCAAAATGTAGCATTTTGACTTAGGCATGTTGAAACACTTGACTGAGTTTGAGAATTTAAAAACGGAAATGTTTCAATATTTCAGATGTTTCAAATGAAATGTTTCAATATTTGTGTTTAGAACATTCAGAACTTCTGACTGTGAAAAATATAGACCATTGAGCTAATTGTCTTTGGTCAGAACAAAATTTTGAAATGTGAGAAAACTGTGGTGGGAAACAGCTGTTGTTTTTATAGGTTATTTTTCAAGTAATTTATAATATATACTCCTTCCTCCCACAGCCCCGCTTTTTTGATAATCCTTTCCTTCTGCATAAGTAAATGTGTGTGTGGAGATTTTAGGCATACTTAAACTTTGTAAGATTTTCTATAGATTTCCATTTTCTATTCCAGACCAAAAAAGAAACTCTAGAAGACACTCTTAACAGAAGGCAGCACTGTAGTTTTTTTTAATATCTTTGAATATACAGGAGAGTAACAATGCCAATGACCTCAAATTGAACTAGCAGTTAAAGACTCTAGGTTCTACACCATATCTGCTGTTTTATCTGCTAGCGTCACATTTGGATGTTCCTTTGGGGAAACTGTGCCTTAGGGTAGCTTCAGAAAAGCCAGGATTGTACTTAAAGTGTGCAATAAATTGCAGCATGCCATTTTACGTCTAATGGTACTGTGCGACAAACAAATGAGTTCCTACTGTTCATATATTAACTGTAGAATTTTTGCCTGGATTTCTGAGAAAAATAGGGATGACATTGCGTTTCTCCTCAAATCTCAACTGTAGTAACTTTTGAAGCCAGTATTGGTCAAATTTGACTGGGGATATATAGATCTCAAACATTAAGTTCCTGTCAAGTTTCATGAAGATAAGCGGCCCCATCGTTGAGTAAAACCGTGTCACTCTTCTCAATGAAGATAACACTGTAGGGCAAACCTACTGCGTAGGGAATCTAGAGAGAGCTGAGAAAGAGACCCCGTAAGAATCCAGAAACTAATTTGGAGCCTGTATTTTTTAGAAATAAGTAGTTTCAAACATTAGACATGCTTGGAGAAGATGTTAACTGATTCTGCTATTCAAGGGCCTACCTATTTGTGTATTTTCATGTACTAGCTATTATATTGAGGCCAATTCTCACACTCTCACCCTTGAGAAAATGCAGCATGGCTGATTCGGTGCCAGATACCCTGGGTTGACTGAGTACCTTGGTTTTTTTGGGCTAGCAGGAGATGGGAAAATGATGAAATAATGCAGCTACTGT